TCCACCACCATCTACCCTTCCCCCGCAAATTCACCGCCACCACTATTTTCCAACCGCCTCAATTTTTACACCAACAAATTAAAAAACAGAGGCAAAACTTAACCTAACAAATTTGATATAGAACAGCAAGCAAAGAACCAAAGATTATCACAAGCAAAGAAATCTAGATTATCATATGCGAAACCTTGATATCAACAGCCCGTAGAGAAGCCTTCGATTTGAAAAGACGAGCTCGAAACCTTAATTTGAAAATCCCGTAGTGAACCCTTCAATTCAGCAGCACGAGCTCAAAGGGATTTGGGTTGTGGATTTCTGTGAGAGGAAATGATTACGGGAGGGGAGAGAAAGGAAATTAGAAGGAAATTTGTTTCCCCATGTTTTGGCAAAAGACTGTGTTTTGGGGTTATTTTTTCCAAAACTTGGTTTCAGTCATTTTCCATTTTCAATTTATTCTTTTTTTTTTCATTTTCAAAAACACGTTTTCGAAAATAGACAAGAGAACGCGTTTTCACTGTTTTGAAAAATTGAAAACAGAAAACGGGTTGAAAACGATAAAGATAACAGGCCGTTAGTACCTGCAGAATCATGCTACTTCAAGAGCAATGCCACGATATTCTTTTGATTTATTCATGAATAACGAAACAATATTCTATAAGAATATTAGTATATAAATTTTATGATTATTCATAAACGATAAAATATTTTTTCTAGAATACTAATATGTACAAGTTGTTCTTTGAAATAACCAAATATTCTTCTAGAAAAATGAATTATTTGTATATAAGTTATACTTCTCCAAAAACATTAACATATTTATCAGACTCAGACTTGTATAAAGTAATCTCCTGAAGCCTTGAATAAGATTTGTAATCTCACATTTAGTTGTGCTTTTTCCATAGCAACACAATATTCTTTTAAAGTATTATTTTTTATAAATTGGTTCAAATGATTCTTCAATATTCTTTTGGAATATTTAAATATCTGAATTGTGTTTCATTCTAGAAAAAACAACTAATTATTGAGCAGTAGGTCAATATTTTCGAAAATATTAAAATTATAATGTCTTGCTCTTTAGAAACAGTAATACTATATTGTATCATAAAACAATCGTATACTTCTTTTGAAGTATTAGTTAAATCAAAGATTTAACCGATCAAAACCTTCATAAATATGATATATAATAAAATAAAAAGACTTTTAAAGAATAGACTTACTTGAATTTGAAAGCATTATAAAATTTTGAATAGTTGATAAATCTCGTATTATTCAAAGACTTTTGAAAAAAATTGTAGTGCTTTAAAAAATTGCTAATGTTCACATAGCTAATTCTTGCAAATGAACCGTTAGATTTTGATCTTAACCATTGGATTTTAAGATAAATGAGTTGTAAATGTCCTATCCAAATTTCACGATGATCGAATATGGTGCATTGAGATATCAATATTTGAATCACAGTTGTGAAGGCCTGCATTATTGATTTTGGATTTTCTTTTCCTTTTGCACCTTCGTTGTGAAAGGTCATAGAGGCTACATGCATAAATGACAACGATCACAATTTCCGTATTTTATTTTTACATCATTCATTTATGAACCCACAATTTTGCATGCCACATGAATACAATCGAATTAACATGTCATAATTTCACATATATTTATGAATTTCTAACGCTTTTATACCGTGACACGCAAAATGGTGGTTGTACCCGAAAAATGTGTGAAGGAAATTATGAATAAATGGAGACATATATATTGTTTCTCGAATCACATATTGCAATCAAATTTTTAGGGAATGAATATAATGAGAGAAAAATCAATTATCATTCAATAACCACCAATTCAGGTCAAATTCTTATCTTATATAAAATCAATTATTATCCATTTTCAAATTAAAAAAAAATCTTGAATAGTGAAAAGTTTCTCAAACTTTAATATTTTTGAAAATGTAATCTTAATGTATCATGTATGGTAGTTACGTGCAAAAATTTGTAACTAACATCACTTAAGTTTACATTTTCACAAATATCAAATTAAAAAAGAGATTTGTAGAAATCACATAATTCACAAATTTGAAGAAGAAGAAGAATATATGTTTGTATAGTGTAAAGAATGTGAACAAAACTGATAGATATATGGGAAGAAGTCGTGATATACATAGATGTGTTTTCTTTTATCATATTTTATTCTAAATTTCAACAAGTGATCATTCTCTCTCCATACTCATCTATGCGATCATGCATACAAGAACAAATAAATTGTTGCTGAATTGTCAGTGTTTACCTTTATTCTTATGTTGTGATCGGTATAAAGAAATATGGGTAACAATTTAGCAATATTTAGTTCATATGACTATTGAAATGTCGTGCTAGACTTCATAACATTCGTTATGATATTTCCTACATTATTGTGTGAATTTTATCTGTGACCTCTAATATATTTTCCTTGTTTCTATTAGGTTGTATTTGATAGTAAATATTTTCCATTTCCATAAATTTGTCATGTTTGATAGTAATTTTTTTCTAGGGAATTGGTTTTCACTCCCACCCTCCACACGTGCACATTTTCTTTGGTTTTGTTGAATTGATTTTCCCACCCTTTTGGTGGGAAAAGCAATTCTAGGTTTTTTTTTTTTCTTTTTTTTCAATGGTAACAAATTTCATAACCAATTATAAAAAAAAAAATCAATTTAATGAACAATTT